TTTTTTGGTTTTTGGTTTTTCTCCGGTACCGGGAACCGAACTCACGACCTTGCGCTTGCCAGGCAGGCGCTTTTGCCGCTGAGCTAAATCCCCAGACCCTAAACATAGTTTTCAACAGAGAATCAAAGTTACTGTGTAACACTGTCAATTACTTTACATATATTGTTCTAAATCCTTACAATCCTACTACTTAGTTTCTTCCACCTTCTTTTAACAAAGGCTCGAAGGTTAAGTAACTTGGCCAAAACTAGCCAGGTAAGCAGTCTCCATGTGTCTGACCTCACACTGCCTGCTACCCCCTGGTGAACCTCCAGTGATTTGTTACCATGCACACTGTATTGTGCTGTTTCATTTAGGCAGCACAGGAGATTGAATCCTGGCCTTCACACTGAGCTACACCTTCGCTTTTTCTTACTTTTAATATTGAAACAGGGTCTCACTAAGTTGCTTAGGTTCCTCCTGCCTCAGCGTCCCGGAGTCCTGGGATTACAGGCATGTACCACTATGTCAGGTCTGATCCAAAATTAAGTGGAAGTCCATGAGACTCCACATGGAACTACTTGTGAATTTCATGAAACATAAAAGATATATTTTAATGAAGTAGCAGAGCTCAGGGTGGTGACACATACCTGAAATCCCAGATCCTTGGTAGGCTAAGGCAGGAGGATGGCAAGTTCAAGGCCAGCCTGGGCAATTTAAGACTTTGTCTTAAAATATAAAAAAAGGGTTGAGGGGGTATAGCTCAGTGGCACAGTGCTCATCTATCATGTGTCCTGGGTTTAATCTCTAATAGTGCAATCAATCAACCCATAAGAAAAGGTAAAATCATAATGCCTGTACAAATATAAAATGAATACATAGTAAAGATTTTATTTATGTAGTTAATGAGGGAACCTGTTAAGTGCTACAAATTCGAAGAATTTAAAAGGCATACACAGTCAGAGGTGGTGATGCACGCCTGTAATCCCAGCACTGGGGAGGCTGAGGCAGGAGGATCAGGATAGTTGTGAGTTCAAGACCAGCCTGGGCTACAAAGTGAGCTCAAGGTCAGCCTGAGCCACATAGCGAGACCCTGTCACAAAAAAACAAAGCAAAACAAAACAAAACAAAACGGCATACACACACAAAATGCTAAAAATGTATACAAACTTCGGGAAAAGAAAAAGAGCAAGACTTTTTCAACACATGGTGTTATCCTTGTATGGGGGACCCTTACAGGATGTTGCACATTGCAGAAAACCCACTATTCTGCTGGCCCTTAAAGAAACTGAAATGCATGTGCAGCAATCTCAGTGACCAAGCAGCAGCTCACTGTACTAATAAATGTCTGGAAGCTGATGGCCACCACTTTAAGTACCTCTTGTAATTGTAGAAGCCAATGATAACGTATATTAACCTCATTATGTCTCAATAAATTTAGTATTAAAATATTGAAACAAGTTTTACTTTTCCTGTAGTGTGTATACACTTTTTTGGCGGCCTCTGCATACACACACACACACACACACACACACAAAGATAAAATTTGAAATGAATGTTAATGGATACTGATAAGGGTAATAAGTAATTACATCTGCTGTGGACAAACCTAATTCTCACCTCCACGGCATTCTACAAGTTACACTGTTGTGCCAGGATGGTGGTGCACGCCTGTAATGCCAGTAACTCAGGAGGCTGAGGCATGAGCATGGGCGAGTTCAAGGCCAGCCTACACTACATAGCTAGACTCCCTCTCAAAAAAATGTTACAGTTATAAAATAGCTTGACCATGAAGGATAGAGATAACCTGAAGAGTAAGCTACATAAAACACGATTTTTTTCTCGCACCTATTTTGTTAGGTGCACATTTTGTAATATGTACATTTTCCTAGGACACTCAGCTGTAACTTGTTTTGCAGGCTTTCATAAAAAAACTAAGCGGGGGAAGAAAAAGGTTGAGAATGCCTGCTCCAGGCACAGCAAACTTCCCGGTGAGGAACACTCAGTGGCCACTGGCCGCGGCAATGAATTTTGCCCGCTGGGCCGCCAGATAAACCCTATTCAGTTTTCAAGGCCCAAGTTCTTCCCTAATCCATTGCCTCCCCATGTTTTCACACCCCTATCAAAAAACGCCCTAAGTATTTAATTTGTTAGCTCTCTTCCACAGTTTAATTTTCTTTTAGTCTCATTCAGTTTCTAAACGCTCCAGGGTGGGCTCCAAGCCTCGATCCTTCCGCCTCTGCCTCCCGAGTGCTGGGTTTACAGGAGCGCGCCACCACTCCGGGAGCTGACCACAGGATTCCCAGATCTCTGAAGATCTGGGGACCAAAAGAAAACGCCTCGACTTCAGAACACAAGTCCTCCCACCCGCTCTCCTTGGGCAGCCAAAATTCAACCCCAATCCGCGAAACGGGCGCATTCTCGGTGGTCCAAGGCTGGACCACCTGCACTTCCGCACCGACACGCCCACCGCGGGGCGCGCCGCGGACCCCAGCAACAGCCAGGCAAGGGCGCCCCCACTGTCTAAAGACCGGATTGCTAGGGCTGCCAGAGGGCTAGTGCGCGTGCGCACAGCGAACCGGCAAAGCGATCACACGGAGGAGGGGGCGGGGTAAAACGGACCACAAACGCTAGGACACTCGGCAAGCACGACTGAGAGGAATGTAGACTTCGCCCAACCTTAGCGACTCCTGTCACTTACTCCGCTCACTTCCCAAAATACGGGATCAGAGGCTTGCGTCCTTCAGCTCTTTCCGTCTCCCGACCCTAGAGTCGTGGTTATTTCGCGTCATACGCCGAGCGACACCGTTCACTCATCCGCTTTCGGGAAGGCGCGCCCAGAGGCCGTGCGTACGTCGATGACGCCATAAGACAGGGACGTCTTCCGGGGGGGCGGGGCATGGGAGAGCTAGGCCGGTTGAGAAGGCTAGGCGCCAACGAAGAATTTGATTGGTGTTGACAGGGAGGTTCTGGCCGAGGGGGTGGGGCTAAGTAGTGGGTTTTCCTCTGGTGGTGGTGTCCCACGTTGATGACGTCACGCTCGTTCGCGGGAGAAATTCGAAAGTGGATGTTGTGCAGTGGTATGAGGTGAAATGAGGATTTTCTCGGGTTTTCAGAGGAAGGGTAGATAGGCAGGGAGATTTGAGTGCCTTATAGTGCAGGGACACATGCGTCTGGTCTTCAAGAAGCCGGCCACGTAGTGTGGTGCTTGGACCCGGGAGTGAGGCGGCGGCGACGGCCTCGCTCTGCTGTGCAATTCTGCTTTGCAGTTTCTTTTGGTTATTTAGGTTGATTCTGGACAGAAGGTTGCCCTGGTGATTTTGAAGCATTTAGGTAGGAATCACTTGAGGATGCAGGGTTTAGTTCGAAAACTCCTGCTTGTTCCAAAACAAAAGGACCCGCAATACCTCGTTATAATTGTCGTATTTTACTGAAGACACGGACGTAAGGTATCTGTATTAGACGGCTAAGTTAGGTAGAAATGCTACAGGCAGTCAGGCGGGGCTGGCCTTCGGGAGAGTCCATGCAGGAGATGAGAACAAGTTACAGCCGTGCGCATGTGTTGGAGGCCAGGCCTCAAGATAGGAAGTGACCAGGCCGGCCCGCCTCCCCAGTAGATAAGCAGTAAATTAACGTTAACATCAGTCGCCCTGGTGGGTGGCCAGAACCCCCTGTTCCTCTCTTCCTAAAAAGGTTCTTGCTCTTTCCCTATACACTGCTGCGTGACCTGTTTCCCGTGTCGCGAACAGTACCTAAGCGGCTCAACTTGTGATCTTCCTGGTTGATCGTGATTTTGTCCCGTATCGTACCCTCCTCGGAATTTGGCGCTATGAAACTCTAAAATGAGATCTGCGGCAACCCGTATTTTGAGTCCCCTCCTATCTCTCGGGAGCTATCGCGCTCTCTCAATAAATATGTCCTACTCTTAACCTCTGTTGTTCTTTAGAATTCATTCTTCGGTTTTGGGGAACACGAACTCCATGTATCTGACCTCTACCAGGTTGGGAGTTGCATTTATTTCTCCTGTGTCATTTACAGCAGCACAATAATCCCTGTGCCTAGGTATACGGATATGTGTATCTGTACCTGTGTAATTATTGCAGAACATCTGGAGTGTACACTTAATTTTTTCTTTTTTTTTTTTTTTTTTTTTTTTGTGGTACTGGGATTGAGCCTAGGGCCTCCACACTGACCTACATCCGAGCCTGTTTTATTTTATTTTATTACAATATTTTTGAGACAGAGTCTCCCTAAGTTACTAAATTGCCAATGTTGGACTCCAATTTGTGATCCTTCTCCTTTAGCTTCCCAGAGTGCTGGGATTACAGGGGTGCACCCCCGTGGCCAGCTCTCTGTCCTACTTTAAAAACTTTCATCTACTGGAGGCAGGTAAACACTTGGGTTGTCTGAGAGATGTGGACAGGTGAACACTTAACAGAAAATTTTATATCCCTGTATTTCTCCTTATGATGCTGTTCTCTAAAACCATTTTTCTTATCTAACGGTAGGATAAGAAAGGAGGGGCTGGGGATTTAGCTCAGTGGCACAGCACCTGCGTAGCAAGCGCGAGGTCGTGAGTTCAATTTCCAGTACTGGAAAAAAACCCTTCTAATTATTTTTAAATCCACCTTGCTTGCTTGCTTGCCTGCCTGCTTTCTTTAGGTTTAATCCCATAATCTAATTTACCATGTTTGAGAGTTTGAAATTTCTCTAATTTAGGAAAATAGTGGGGAGTTTATTTTGAAATTCCTAAACAGTATATACAGAATCTTCAATTAGTAAATGCTGTGTGCCTAATCCATACATCATGATGGTAATGCCTGCTTGTTTTTCTTTCTTTTGTTCATTCTTTTGTTCATGCTGGCGATTGAATCCAGAGCCTCAAGAATGTGAAACACTAGGTGTACCACTGTCACACCTTGATGCGCTAATTTCTCCTCTTCAGGATTATGAGATGGATAAGTATACGTAATGGTCTAGACCAGTTCCTGCCTGACACATAGTAGTCAGTCAATAAATTCTTTCGTAAATATGGCTTTTGTGAGTTGGAGTGCTGGAGTTTATACAACTTGGTTTTGAATTATGAGACTGCCTTTTATTTACTTTATGGCCTTCGTCATTACTTATCTGAGTTTCTTAAGTGGATATAAAAGTAATAGCTATAGTGTAATATTGTAAGCATCTTAATAGCTCTAGCATATTGTACTGAATAAGTGATTGATGTTAAAGAATCTAATATTTAAAAACTGCCACATGCCAAATACTGAGTCTATGTTATATACACTCTCGTCTGTGTCCACAAAATACCCAGCCCATTCTAGGGTAGGGAGCAAGTTGCTCAGGAAGCACCAGGGGTTCGTTTTTCTGGACCCCCATTCTCTCCTTAGGATTCTTAGGCATCTTGCAGTTCCCATGGACTGAAGGAGACAGAGATGTAAACAGTCATGTTTTTTGTGTGTCTGGGTCCTGTCCTCTGACCTGTGTCCCATGTCCTGCAGCAAGCATACATGTCTCATTTGCCTACCTCTTATCCTATCCTGTCTACATTGAGCAGCCAGTGTGATGTTTGTAAAATCTAGGTCAGGTTATGTCATATTAATCTTTGTTTTGAGACAGGGTCTCACTATGTAGTGCAAGCTGGCCTCGAACTTACAGCGATCTTCCTGCCTCAGCCTTCCAAGTGCTAGGATAACAGGGTTGCGCCACCACACCTGTTATGTTATTCTTAAAATCCTCCCACAGCTTCTTACTGTCTTCATGGAGAGTCCAGACTCCCGAGCAGAGCAGAGCAAATTTTCCACATCCAATTACCACTGTATTCAGCTTTCACAGTATCATAGTCCCCCTGTCCCTTGACTATTAGAGATCCCTGAGCAGGCCTCCCCACATACTGCTTCTTATTTGGGAAGACCAGCTTCCCTTACAGCTTCCATGTTCCTCCCTTGAGGAAGTTGGGTTCCATGTGCTAGCTAGACCTGGATGGGTCTCCGGCTGGTGCTTATTCCCAGCATCTTAGTGTAGGTAATGTTCATTGCTCTGCTCTGCTGAGAATTCCTTGAGATCAGGGATAGCAATTCATCCATTCACTATCTCAGCCTAGCACAGTGTCACTTTAGTAAGAACTGAACAAACACTTCTAGTTTCTAAATAATGTGTAGGTGGTGTATCTTATAAGGAGGAAGTGGGCCCACAATCACAAATGACAGTTTTGTTGACTCCCTCTAGATTTTTAGGGCTGTGTTCTCAAACTTCACCATGCGTCATCAGCACAGGGCTTGTTAAAGCACAGACTACTGAGCCCCAGTCCAAGCTTTATGATTTCTGAAGACTAGAATCTGAAAATGTTCATTTCTCTTAGGTTTCCAGGTAGTATTGTTGGTTCAGAGGTCATATCTTTTGGACCACTTTAGGAAAATTAAAAAACAAAAAACAAGAAAGGAATAGATATAACTGGGTATAGTGGCACATATTTATAATCCCAGCATTCTGGGAGGCTGAGGCAGGAGGATCCCAAGTTTGAGGTCAGCCCAGGCAATTTAGTGATTTAATGTGATGCTGTCTCAAAATAAGAAATGGGAAGTTCTTTCTTTCTTCTTTTTTTTCCTTTGTGCACGCAGGGCAAAGAATGTTACCACTGAGCCACATCCCCAGTCCTCAAAATGAGAAATAAAGAAGGGTTGGAGATGTAGTTCAGTGTGAAGGTCTTAGGTTCAATCTCTAGTACAAAAGAAAAAAAAAAAAGATACACAGTCTACCCTTGTTGTGGGTTCTATGTCTGTAGATCTGAGCCTGTTTAGACTTTCTTGCTATTCCCTGAACAATGCAGGATAGTAACTAGTTGCATATTGCTTTCTTTGTATAAGGTATTTTAGTGATGTAGACTTGACTTAAAGTATACAGGGGGTGTGTGTATATATTATATGCAAAATGCATACTGTTATATAAAGAACTTGAGTGCCTGTAGATTTTGGGGTGTGTGTGTGTGTGTGTGTGTGTGTGTGTGTGTGTGTGTGTGTGTGTGTGTGTGTCCTGGAGCAGTCCCTCACTACAAGTGGACACCTAGGGCCAACTATAAGAGTGGACATTCAAAACACAAGGGGGCCATCTTGTGGTCACTGTAGAATCCTGAAAACTCCGAAAACAATTTGGCCCAGAAGGAGCCGAACAGAGAAGTGAGCATTCACAGCCTGGTACGTGTTGTGGTGCCTGGATCAACATTTGCAGACCGTTAATTAGTTTACGGGTTCAACTTTTTTTCTCTTTTTTCCAGTGTCTGTGACAGATGATTTAATTACACCTCTGTTTCCCCTGGCAGTTAGTCTTCTGACTCTTTGATTTCTGTCTCTGGTCAGGAGTTTATTGGGAAAATTTCTAACATAGATATTCTTTTTATCAGGATTGAATATTCTGTGTCATCTTTCACTTTAGGTGGTATAAATACTTGATGATTTTTTGGACCTGACTGGTTTATAACTTCAGAAGAAACAATGGAAAGCCAGGAATTTATTGTAAGTCTAATTTTCACTCTTCTCAGCCATTTTTCTTTCTAGTGGACTAGACATTAAACCCAGAGCTTTTGCACTGAGCTGTGCCCCCAGCGCCTTTTTACTTTGCGTTTTGCGACAGGTCTCCCTGACTGCTGAGCTCCTCGCCTCAGCCTCCCAGTGTACTGGGATTCCAGGTGTGTCCTACTACACCTGGCTCCTCCCTCCTTTTTCTTACTTCCTGAGGTTTTCCCCCAAAACAAAAAGCAGGATACTGGATTCAATTTGAATTTCAGGTAAACAATAATTTTCCTGCAGAAACTTGCCCCAAATAGTTCACTATATTTATCTGGCAAGCCTATCTTTTACATATGATTCATATTCATTGTACAAGGCCCTTTGTAACTTGGTCCCAGGAAACACCTTTTTGCTTTGAAGATCTACCTGCCTCTTCTGTTCTGATAGTGGTTCTCACACTGTTTGGTCTTAGGACCCTTTCATACTCTTAAAAAATACTTAGGACCCCAGAGTACTTTTGTACGTAGAGCTTAAGTGATGTTTGTTATGTTAGATATTAAAACAGCTTGAGTGTGGTGGTGGTGCACACTTGTAACCTCAGAACTCTGTGAGGCTAAAGCAGGTCACAAACTTATCCTCAGCCTGGACAACTTAGTGAGACTCTGTATTAAAATAAAACATAAGGGGCTGGGGATTTAGCTCAGCGGCAAAAGCGCCTGCCTGGCAAGCGCAAGGTCGTGAGTTCGGTTCCTGGTACCGGAGAAAAACCAAAAAAATAAA